CAATAGATTCAACACTGTAGCTTCTAATCTGAAGAACATCTGTTCTGATGATGCAAAGCTCAGAGCTGAAAGAACTCAATTCTGGATTGTAAACAAGATTGAACCTCTGCTTTGTTTGGATGCTCCTCCTCCTCCTCCTCCACCAGAACCAACTGTCAATACATTGACTATGACTCTGGTAGAACCCTCTTCAGGATCTCCAGAACATATGGCAATTGACTCTGTTTAGGCTGCAGAACCTCCATCTTCTTCATCAGAGATAAAGACAGAAAATCCAGATTTTGGAGACAAGATTGCTGCTCTGGAAGCTGGTCAATCTGAAATAAGATCTTGGATGGCGAAGCAAGACAAGAAATCTGAGGACATGTCAGAGTGGATGTCTAAACAAGATGAGAAGAATGAGACAATGACTAAGTGGATGTCAAAGCAAGAGCAATCATCATCTGAGATCACAGACCTATTGAAGATGCTTTTGTCAAAACATTCTTAGATTTTTTTTCTCATGTTTGTGCATCTGTTGTTTTGCATCTGAATGTTCTTGTTATATCTTCTGATATTTTCCAATGTACTCTTGCTCTGTTATGTTAAATGAATCAGTTTGTTATTCTCCATTGAATTATCTGTTTCATGTTCCTTTTATTTGTCTTTATTAAAAGTTTTTACTTTTTGCTTATGACAAAAAAGGGGGAGAAAATGAAGATCTGAACTATTTAATATAATTTCACTAGAATGAATCTTCAGACATATCTACTTTTTCTAATATCTAAATTGACTATTTCAGAACATTTGATAAGAACACTCTATAAAAGAATCTCTGAGTTTCTCAGATCATTTATCTTTTATCAAACTCTGAATCTCTTATCTGCAAGATAGTCTGACCCTTAATTATTACAAAGACAAACAAGATCTGACTCTGAAGATTACTCAAGATAAAAAGGGAAGTTTCTATTCCTTTTTCATATTCAACTCAGGGGGAGATTCATCATCTCAGGGGGAGCTATAATTCTTTTTGTTCAATTAAATAAAATTTCTGATACTTTTTGTCATCATCAAAAAGGGGGAGATTGTTAGAACACAGATTGGTTCTTAATAATTACTCTTTGTTTTGATGATAACTGTTAAGAAATTTATATTTAAGAATTATATACTCTAAAATTTGTTTGAGAGTTTTACTGCAGATTGAAATTATATTAACTCTCAAGAAGCAAATCTGCCTTGAATACAAGAAGTTATTCTGACTCTGAAGCGCCAGATGCACCTTACAGAAGAATCTGTTTGCTCCTCACAGAAGATCCTGAGCGTAGTCTCCAGAAGGATCTGAAGAAAGAAGCTCCAGAACATTCTGAGTCAGAAGCATCTGAAGCTGAAGCATCAGAAGTATAGAAGAATATTGATTGAAGAGTTTCTCAAAGCATTAGTCTACAGAAGTTTCTGAAAGTACCTACGCTGCCAAGTACTGAAGTTCTGTGTCAAAATGCTCTGATGATCAACACGCTAGAAGCACACACGCTGCAGAAGACTCTGATACAGCATAGTTCTGAATCTCATTAGAAGACTCTGATCCATTCAGACTCTGAAGAACTTGCTGAAACTGAAGAAGTAATTTTCAAGAATATATCCGTTGGAGCCATTCAACGTCTCTTTCCTTATTTGTGCTAGACACACTTACACAGACAAAAAGGATTTCTCTGTGCCATCTATTTCAAGGAAAGGTCAGTTGATGTGAAGACAAAAAGGCTCAGACCTTTTGGGACTCTCTTTTCAACGTTCAGCTTGCATGATTCAGCTGCCTATAAAAGGAGATCTTCACTTCATTCTTCAGTTACACACTTGCTGAAAAGAAATCATAATATTCTAAAAGCTCTCATTCTTATTCTTCATAGAATCTCATTGTACTTAAACTTAAGAGAAAAATCACTGTTGTGATAAAAGCTTTATAGAAGCATTAAAAACTCTTGTATTTAATTTACATTGATTGTAAAGGATATTCCAAGCATTAAAAACTCTTGTATTTAATTTACATTGATTGTAAAGGATATTCCTTAAGAGGATTCAGTTAGAATCAGTAGCTCTTGAGAAGACTAAGAACTGTTGTTCTTAGGTGATACTATTGTAATCAGTTTGATTTAATAGTGGATTAAGTCCTTGTTGAGAAAGGCAAATCACTCTGGAAGGGTGGACTGGAGTAGTTGTTAAATGAACCAGGATAAAAATAATTGTGTGATTATTTTCAAGTCTTAATTTTCCATACTTATTCAATCCCCCCCTTTCTAAGTATTATCTCACCTTCAGCTTTGCCCTCACACTTCAGGAGTGACACTTTTGACATCACCAATAAAAAAGGATAATCAATTAAATACTTGTTAAGACCACAAATAGCAATTGATTTTAAATCCCAATTCTGTATTCTTTAGACACAAAATGTCTTAAGACATCCCTCAGCAACTAGAGAAAAATCTTCTAGGCATAAATATTCCTCAGAATACCATCTTCTCTTTCGAACACATTTGGCATTGCCTTTATGAGTGGACTTGAGAGAGGACTCAAGTATCTTGGGCTACCTAAAACATGACATAAAGAGTTTACCAAATTCATAGATCATGAACTTGATATATAAGATCCCAACTCAACCTTTTTCTTCCTATTATCCTTCATGGGACCTGGTTGACCCCGTCTCCCAAGCAACATAGGAGGATCCTTCAGAGGAAAACATCACAATTCTTGCTTCAACACCATCTTCAACAAGTCAGGATAGATGTCAGAACAAATTATAAGACATCATGCTTAACACAAGTATCATTATCAGCAACAGCAGAATAATCTACACGGATCACTCAGTGAACCATTAGAAGTTGTCAGACCAGATTCAGAACATTATCCTCTTAGCTTCCATCTCCTTGAGGACAATAGTAATGGATGAACTGATCACACAATCTCCTTCCTTGTTCAAAAGACCAAAAGTTATCTTCTCTAGAACTCATTCAGAAACAGAATAGGATGCCTGCTCTGATACCAATTAAAATTTTGGTAGCAGATCTTAGATGTCCTGAGAGATGTCGAGACATTGATCTCTGCTAAAAACTCAACAAGGATAGAATAGAAACATTTTGTTCTCTTAAAATCAAGAACACTCTGAACCTTCAAGGTTAAAACAGTGTCATGACAGATGTTTCAATATCTGTCAAAATATATACTTCAGAGTGAAAGTACAGAATGAAAAATAACACAAGATATAATGACCAGTTCGGTGCAAATCATCTACATCTGGGGGACTATCAAGCCAAGAAAGAAATCCACTATCAGTAGTATCAATTCAAAGTTAAACTCCCCCGTTTACAATCCCTTACTTAATCCCTACCCAGTGCAACTTCTACCTAGGACACTCCTAGATATGAGAAATCACCATCTCACTCCCAATCACTACAGTGATAAACAAACACTCCCAATCTCAGGGAATGCCACAAGAAACTGAAAAGAAAGATGTACCCTCTTTCTTTCAAGAACAAAACTAGGTCAAGACTCTTGACCAAGAACAATACTTGATTTTGCTTAAAAGCTTCAACCAAGAACAATACTTAACTCTTGTTTCAAAGCTTCGAGTAAGAATAATATACAACCTAAATATGTCTACCGCGATGCATCAAAAGATACAAAAGGTGACTTATAAAGTCACACACAAGAGACTCTCAAAATCCTAAACCCTTATGTTGCACCTACGATTTTCTTGTTGTGTATGCTTGCATTTTTTAGGTCTAGCAAGCCCTTATTTATAGACTCTTGCAGTATGAGCTTAGACTCTTCAATCAGGTCCAATCTTCACGTTATAAATCTTCTGCAGAATCTTCTCCACAAAAATAGGAACAAATCTTTTATAGTTTCCTAAAAAGTCTACAAGATCCTTTTTATGAAATTCAATAAAATATGCACTTTGTTCCTAATAAATCTCCTCGACATGCGCATAATGATGAGGAATATCCAAAAGGTCTCATCAAATCAAAACAAATTTGTCAAGAGATATAAAATAGCAACCCTGTTATACCAGACTAAGATGTCATGACATCTGTCTGAAATACATGACAGTAGTATTGTCATGACAATTGATGAAGATGTTATAACATCTTGCTCAACATCAGCATAAAACCATGTTTTACCAAAATTTAGTCAATCGTAGAACCATAGAACTAATATGGATGAAAATTTTTAGGAGGACCATTCTTTGAAAGAAATATTTTGAGAAACTAAAAACGAAATTTGAAATATTTAAGAAGACCACAAACATGTTTAACCCAATTAACAATTATACACAATACACTTATAAATTAAACAATTATACACAATAAATTTTCACTAATTCTTAATAACAAAATAACTATCATGCAATTATCCGATAAAGTTTGACATTAACTAAATTATCAATCCAGTTTCACTTTAATTGTGACTTGATATCTATGAAATATGGTCGAACAAAACTTCAATACTGATACGACAACACTAATAACAATTTAAAAAATTAAATAAAATTAAATATAATTATATGCGTTGGTGCAATTGTCGAGACACCTTCTTTCAAAAATGTAAATGTTACATTCATTCTGAGTTATATTTCATAAATCTTACTAGTACTATATAATTCTTAAACTTTTTATATTACTCATCCTTGGGAGTATACAATTCATTATATATTTGTGACCAATTATTAATAAAAAAGAATATTATAAAAAGGTATGACGTTGGCAAGATGAAGAAGATTCCCGCAAGCAACGGCTGAGATTGGTTGTAAGTGTTAACACGCTTCGTTTATCTTCGACTCCAGCTTCCACCATTCCTTCTCAGTCACACACACTCCCCTATGTTTTCTGTGTGAACTCATCTCATCTCAACTCCACCCATCCTCTCCTCTCTCTCACCAACTCTCACAGAACAACATGCTGTAACTATAATCCAACACTTTCTAACATAAAAAACACATAGAATACAGAGGAGTAGTAAGGTAGAAGAAGATGCTACTCGGAAAACGTCCTCGGCCACCGACTATGAGAAGAACAAGAAGCATGAGCGGTGGTATGTCCGTGGACATGAACTCACCTGATAATCAAACCACCACCAACAACATGGAATCCCATCATGAAGAAGAATCAGTGATGTCTCATCATAATAATCCTCTGCAACCGCATCCACACCATGATGGCGTCAAATTAGATCCACATGCGGTTGTGATGAAGGGAACAGAAACTGACGGTGGATTAGTGGGGAGTACAGTGATGTTCCCTTCACACACAACCACAACCACAACCTTAACCACCACAAACACTAACAATAATATTAATCATAATAATAATCCTGTGAGTGCGAGTGCACATGGAGTATACAGTACACCTCACTTTCTCCGAATTTGTGGCCTCTGTAACTGTCGTTTGGCACCCACTCGAGACATCTACATGTATAGGTACTTTTTTATATAGTATATTTTTTTGGGATAAAAATCTAATAATGGTAGCAAAGTTCTCTCCTACTCAGGCCAAATTCAAACCTCAGCCCTCTGATAAAGTTTGAAGAAATCTCTTACGATCTCATTTATTTCAGTGTTCTTTGGCTTATTAATTACTATTTAATTAATTTTGTTTAGAGTTGATGAATTAATTGAAACAAAGTTATAAATGATTTCAGGGGAGATACGGCATTTTGCAGTTTGGAGTGCAGAGAGGAGCAGATGAAACAAGACCGGAGAAAAGAAAAGTGGAAAGTTTCTGTTTCCAACAAAGAAGACCACCGTGTAGCACCACCACCGCGCACGGCCAAGGCTTCCACTGCGGCTTGTACTTGAAGGGTTGCTTGCATAATTGAATAATTATAATAAGGAATTATTATTTCGGTAGATTATTATTAGTTATGAATGAAAAAATGTCACGCTTACCATGCCTAATGTGTGTGTGTGCGCACTTGCGACAAATGAAGGACCATCCTAAATTCGTCTTTTCTCAATCATCATGCTCCTTATGACGTTTTCATTGTGGTCTTTGCAAGTGATTGTTATTAACATAATTCTGCTATAAACTTTGTAAAGGAGTTGTTGCTGTATTATTGTTATCTATATCTACTTTACTAATCTGAAATCTGAAATTTCTCGGATATCTATGTTATTAGTCATCATAATACAAGCCTTAATTTCTTCTTCTTCTCCTTCTTTTTTTTTATTTTTTTATTTTTATTTTTCTAAAAGTTAACTTGTTTGAAAGGAGCTAACAAGTGAGAGTTGATAGCACCACTATAGCCTTCTCATCAAGCATAACTTTTGTTTTAGTTTTAGCTTGCTTTGTTTTTCCCTTACATTATGCAAAACAAAACAAGCTCAAATGGTTTTTGAAAATGTCTTTTTAATATTCATAGAATATAAATTCAATTCATTACAATTTTCCACGTGTTTCTAAAGAGAGTCATAATTTCTTTGTTTAAAAATGTATCATGTTCTCTAATTTTTTTTAGTTTTTCTTAATCTTATTTGGTTCTCTCACCTACCTTGTGGTGATCACCATTTTTCTCTTAACTTTTGTTGTGATTTTCGTATCCTCTTAAGGTTGTCTCCAAAACTCAACTCATTTTTGAAACCACTGAGTGGTGATGATGAAAATCGAAGATGAAATCTTAAAAATAAAATGCTTATTGAAAATGGTCGTTGAACTCCTTTAACAACAGGGGTTTTAAGAACACAATGACTCAAGCTTGGCGGCTCAAGAATCCAATAGAGATATAAGATTTTGCTAAGAACCTATTTATATTTTGTTTTGCTTCAAAGAGGGATTGGAATCCGTGATAGGTGGGTGATCCTAGAGTTTCATAGACACTCTTTGGTTCTATAAAGAGTCTTTGGAGACGAACAACCATCTAGAATGAAGAAATAGGAGATAGTGAGATGTTGTTTAGACCTTGGTTGAGGGAATCTCCATTATGAAAAGTTCAAGATGACATAAAGAAGAAAGCAAACTCAAACAAATGCAACATGAACATCTTCGATTCCATTAGTCATGGTAAGGAAAGGTAAGGAACCAAAAGAGTTGAGGTGTTGGTTGAAACATGGCAAACAATGTTAAAAGAAAAACCCAATGGAATTGTTCGCCGTGAAAATTGGTGAACAATCGCTGGTCTTCCAAATCGAAAAAGATTTGTTTTACTTGCAGGATCGACCACACAAATCCTAGGAGATGTGCTAATTGATCTTAAACAAAAATTGGAAAAACAATAAACATTTCGACAAAGTTCATAATGAAATAACTTGTTTTAAATGGAATTGAACACAAAGGATTAAAGTTGAAAAACTGGTAAAAAATGTAGAAAGTAACTTGCATAAGGAAAGGATAAGTTCTTAATGAAAAAGACTTATTGAATTGCATTGAAATGTAAAAATGGTGTTACATCAACGTACATTCTCGCAAACTCATTTCTCTACATGCGGGTACTTGGAGTATATTGAGGAATTTGTACACAATTGAGCACACACAAATCCTAACACTAAGACTTGCTACTTATACTAATCGAAAATAACTGCCATCAACGGCTAACGAACTAGATCGAGACAAGTGACGTTCTGCATGTCTTCGATTATTAGAAGCATTCCACGTGTCTTCTTTGAGAAATAGATAAGAACGAACATTCCCTCCTTTATTTAAATTCAAATATTTATGTCGAAATGTCTTCTGTAGCACCTCTGTCGAATCACATTTTCCAATTGCTAGGAAATATTTCGAAATCCATAAAATACTTCCTCCTTGCAAAGGGACGTCTTCGAATCACATTCCAAAAATATAGTTCTGGTCGGAGTCATCTAATTCTTCAAAAAATCTATTACTTCCTTTTAATCCAATTCAGGCGTCGAAATTTAGAGCCAACAAATTGCCCCCCAAAAATGTCATTTTCGACATCACTGAAGAAAAAGGCATTTGTTATAATGTCATTCAACCCCTAAAATGACTCTTGCATGCCTTTGATGTCTATCACTATTTCAGAAAACCCATGACGTCACGATCATCATAATGGTTTCTGAAACGTCTCATTAAAGCACGCCAAAATATCTAGTCATCATCATGTTTCCTATACTCTAGGAAATCGTGCGCTAGGTATTAACTGCCCACGTTCCATCAAACAATCCTGGTGGAACACGTCTCCCACTAACCATCAGCTCTTTAATGCTGATTTAAAGTCCTTTAAACTTCCACAAGCTTATAAATAGCTCCATACTTAGCCATTTTCACTTTTACACTTCTCCAAAATTCTCAAGCATTTTCTTCTCTCTTCACTTTCCAAATCTTCAAAAATTCCCAGATTTCTTCAATCCTCAACAATGGCGTCTTCAACCACCAACATCAAAGACTCCAAAAAAGGCCAAAAATACAAAGACCTAAACAAAATCTCTCAGCCTCCTCCCTTTAACACACTTGCAGGGCCAAAATGACGGGGAACCAGCAATTCATTCCGGGGCCACTTGAAGAAGAAAAGAGAAAAATCTATGAATCTCAGGTACTTATTCCTGTTATTGTTTCTGGTAAGCAACATGCATTATACGGTTCTTTAATTGCTCTTAGCTTTGATCATAGTAAATCTAAGGACTTTTTCCCTTCTTACCACAAATCCAAACCCATAGGGAAGCCAATAAATCTAGGGTTGAAAAATCCTCTTCTGATGCAGTAGTGTTAAATAACATAGACTTAAGGTACATGAATAACAGCTTTAGAATCTTTCGAGCAACCCCGTCAATTAAGGAATCTGATGACTATATGAACTGGCTAACAAAGGTAGAAAAAGTTAAGTCCCAAACCTGAAAGAACCTGGGAATCTATGACCTGATCATGTTGTTGAAAATAGGTCTTGATTACTATTCGACCATGTTAGTCTCTTCTATGTATTTTTGGGATAGCACCCATTATACCTTCCATCTCACTTGTAGGATGATGACTCCCATACTCTTCAATATAATAGCTATCACAGGGCTCAGACCTACTAGAAACACTTATGACACAGACGTAGAATCAGATGACTCCCTAGGTTTTGCATCTGCTAAAGCCACATATGCTCATTTCATAACACACTACTATGACCAAATAACTGATGACGTCTCAGATAGAGAACATATAGCCTTTTTGACTGTATGGCTGTCTCACTGTGTCTTTTGCTCGAAATCCCTCAAAGTAGCCAGAAGATATCTTACTCTGGCCACTCAATTTCACAAAGGCCATGATGTATGTCTGAATGAAATGATCTTAGGGAATCTTTACGAATCTTTGAGTGAAAGAGTGGCTCAACTCAAAAATTTGGGAGAAAAAGAGAACCTCTTGCTGTCTGGCCCCTTTTGGCTGCTACAACTCTAGTTGAACGCATCATTCGAAGCCAATCTTCCCAACAAAAATCCCATAGATGAAGCTGCTGAAGAAATCAAGAGCAAAAGAGTCGAAGGGAATCATTTGGTCAAGCTTACTCCCAGTGAAGAAGAACAATCTCTCAGGCCAACATTCTTGAGTTAAGTCATGATATTTTCCAAACGTCATGAATTCACATTGAACATGGCTCCCTTTGCTACAAGGAAGTGTGGCCCTGAGTGGTTCACAAGACCCTTTCTAGCCCCAACCAAAGCTCAAGAAGAAGAGTCTTTAATGATCTGGGAGGCCTTTTTGATTCCAAGATTGTTAACCCTTCGACTGAATCTGTCGAAGTCTCAAGTGGCTCTGATTGCTTACCAAGCAAACTTAGTTGCTTGACAGTTTGGGTTGGTCCAAGATCTTCGCAAGTGTCTCTTTGAAAAGAAAGGTGTTCTTCTTCATCATGTGAAGTAATTAAGGAGATAACTTCGAAACAGCTTGCTCGCTATGCTAATAAGGCTCAACTCATCCCTACTAGCTTCGAACCGTGTTTTCTTTACACCCCAAAATTCAACAACTGGTGGTCAACATATTATGCTGAGGAGTTCTTCGATGCTCCTTTAGTCACTCAACTTATTAAACAAGCTTTCCTCTCTATGCAGGAGAAGACCAAAAAAGGTATTTCAACACATATCGAAGAAATCCAAGCATTCCAGAAGTACTTTGAAACTGTTTATTGACCAAATGATCTTAGTTGAACCGTCTGCGATGCATTTGTTACACTAAAGGAAAAGTTTCTAAATAAAATGGAGACTTTACAACTCTTTTCGTTCGTTCCTCCTAGGGAATGATACGCAATGGCTTTCAACAAGTTTCCTCCCAAATTTCCTTGACTGCCAACTGCTGACTTTAGAGTGGCCCTTGCCCTTCCATTTCTAGACTGGTTTATCTGTAGGGATTCTATAAAAATACTTCGTCAATATTCGAAACTGAAGGCTCAGTGGGTGGTTGCGACTAAGTATACTTTAGAAAGTTTCAAAGGGCCTCTTCATATCAGTATTGAAGATGTTCGCATCGAGTCTGAAATACATGAAGGTGTAGAATGAGAGGTTTTCAAACTAGATTTCTCTTATTCGATTTTTATCATCTTACTTGCAATATCTTTTTTAAATTTCATCTATCAAAGTTGTACCCAAGAAGAAAAAACAAAACGAAGAGAAGACAAAAGAAAGCAGCCAAGTTGCTAAGGTAAATTTCTCTTACTTATTTATTCTTTATTGCATAATATCATGTTGTCTAACACTTCAACTCTTTTCTCCTCAGAGATCTCGAAGACCACCCCCTACTCCAAAAATAATAGAAACCAAAAGGAGCTTCCAGCCATATCATAATTGAATCAGATGAGGAAGATCAATCTCCGCCTAAAAAACAAATCCTTAAAAGGAGGAGAAAACAGGCCAAAATAACTGAACCTTTT